TTATTTTATTTTATTTTATTTTATTTTATTTTATTTTATTTTATTTTATTTTATTTATGTTGGTTTTAGATTATGTGTGCAGAGGAATGGCTTTCCTAAGAAGGCAGCTGCTGTCATAATAATAGTACAAGACAAGAGAAAACTATTTAATGAAAACTGATTAATCAAGGGCAACTTGTTCATAGATCCCCAAACATAAATGGAATCAGCTAAATAGTGAACCCTAATTATGAGTTTGAGGGGTTTTTTTCCCCACTGCTTGAGCCTTGTTTTAATTTTGTTTTCTCTCTCAAATTCTTCCATAGGGGAGCATGTTTTATCTTTTGCAGCCTGTATGGGCAATGAGGAAATTGTTCGTCTGTTAATTGAAAATGGAGCTGATATCAGGGCACAAGATTCTTTAGGTAAGATGTGCACAGTCAACTTATTCCAGGACACCTTCCTGTGAAAACATGGATTGTTTTTGGTAGAAACAATAAGGAACTATACCTGGTTTGAATTTGGTGGTGGAAGAGGTCTAATTAAAGATTACATTTCTACAAATCTAATCATCATCAAGACTAATTACATTCTTTGTCTTATAATACATATTTTTGGGTGACATTTTTAAAATCATAAGTTCATTGGTTAATCAAGCACTTGCACTTATATACAATTATAAAATAGCATTTATTACAATTTTTTAATAATTACCTTTAATTCTTAGGAAATGTTTAGTATTTTATTTTTCATTCTCTGTAACACACCTCAGTCAAAATACTATATAACAAAGTATGTCTCAGTTCTCAGCCTCACCAAATAAATTTATCCCACTGATTTAAAATGGATATATAAAAATGAAACTTGTGTTCATGAAAAGCTAATAACTAAATCTGAATAATGCTTGTGAGACACTACTAAGCTGGATTAGTTCAGTAAGTATTAACCAATTCTGCAGTTGACTGAGTGTAGTTCTTATGTTGTTTCATCCCCAGGAAACACGGTTCTTCACATTCTAGTTCTTCAACCGAACAGAACATTTGCGTGCCAAATGTACAATCTCATTCTCTCCTACGACAAGCAAGAAGGAAACTTGGAACCTCTGGATTTGATTCCCAACAATGAAGGCCTCACTCCATTCAAATTGGCTGGAGTTGAGGGTAACATTGTGGTGAGCACACAGCCCAATTGATCTCTATGGGGAGACTTTGGGGAAAAAAAGGTTCAGGGATATAATTTATTTTATTACCTTGTTTTGTCCTCAGAAAGGTCCTAGTCATTTATATTGGGCTCCCTGGCAGTTTCCCATCTAAATACTAATTAGATCAAAAGCCAGATTCAGAAGTTAGGTCCGGTCATGGTTCATTTGTGCTGTAGCGGGCTTAGGTCTTAGATTCACAGTTCCCCTTTTCCTTCATATACGAAGCAACAAAATTTAGAGTTTCCATTCATATACTTCATGTTTCATCCAGGAATGGAAGGAGAATATACAAACCCAAGTCTCATATATATAAAAAGTTATAATTGATACTTGTTTAGTTGGAATAGTGTAAGCAAATCTTTCAGATCATTTTCTGGTGTAATTGTAATTCAAATTTGTTTTCAATATGAATACCTCTTTCTCTTAATTGGAAGTGAGATTTTTTGTTTTCTTTTGGGTATTTTGTTTCAAGTAAGTCTTGACTTCTGGCAGCAACATGAACTAGTCCCTGCAGTTTTCTTGGCAAGGTTTTTTGGAAGTGGTTTGCTATTGCCTCCTTCCTAGGGCTGTGAGAGAGGGACTGGCCCAAGGTCACACAGCTGGCTTTGTACCTAAGGCAGGACTGGAACTCACAGTCTCCCAATTTCTATTTCAGTGCCTTTAACCACTGTTCCTGGTGGCAAAATCAGTGTGTTCTGGATCCTAAAAGCCTTTGAACTCTTCTGGCTGTATTTTTAAATCTCTGCATTTTCATCCCAATTCCAACATCCAGACTTGAATTTTTTTTGAAACTCCGTGCCCTTTTAAATAAATTCTAGTACTGAATTTTATCACCAATCTGATGCAGGCAATCATGCGTTGTTTTTCTTCTTCAGATGTTCCAGCATCTCCTGCAAAAGCGTAAGCAAATAATGTGGTCTTTGGGGCCTATTACCACCATTCTCTATGACCTTACAGAAATTGACTCCTGGGGTGAAGACCAATCTTTTCTAGAACTTGTTGTATCAACAAAGAAAAAAGAGGTACTGTGGAGCTCAGATACTTTTATCTGGGTAGAATGATGATTGCTGCTATTATTGAACAAGGAATTTGAATGTTCTTCCTAGATGTTCATATAAATTGCATTGTCTAGGAACTTCTTGTCCAGCTGATGAAGAAGCAAACATTTGCTGAGATTCACATCACACACCCAGTTCCCTAGCTGAAGGTGGACTTGAACTTGGGTCTCCCCCAACACTAGGTTCCAGAGTTCCATGGAACATTTATGGCTAGTATTCAGTTAGATTGATTTATCTAAACAATTAACAGTATTAGTGATATGATAAAGGATTAATGCAGACATCTGGCACTCATTGCACTATTTGGCCTTATTGATTTTTTTCCAGTTTATTCCCCTCATGTGTTTAGCTTCTCACTGCAAAGTTGCAATTCACTTTTTGACCTCTAAACATCCTGTGTCCCCCCACCCCCACCCCGGTCATTCTCTAAATTTGCATTGTACTTAGGGAAGGAAAAGAAGAAATTGCACAGTAAAGAGTGGCTTTCAGGATGTCTCTTCCAATCTGATCTGACAGTCCTTCAGTAAGTAACAATTGATAGCAGAAACCCATAGCAGGTCAGAGGAAATGCTTTATATATCTGGCCTCTTTCTAAATTTGAAAACAGAATGCTGTAGTTAATGCTTCTCAAGGCTTGAGATACGTAAAACTCCCAGCTGAAAACAAATGCATTTTGAGAAAGCTGTTTTCAAGGTCTCTGAAATGTACATCCCAAAAATAGAATGGTCTTCACAAGTTTTATGGAGACCAAATTATGAATATGATTTAGGACAGGTATAGAAAACCACTCTCTAGGATGAACTACAGCTCCCAGCCACCTTCACCATTAGCTGTGGTGGCTGGAACTGCTTGGAACTGTAGATGGTGATAATGCAGTGTTTATGCCCTGCGTTTATTGTATAGTTCAGTTTAGCAACAGCTAAAGCATTGTAGGCCACCTGCTTCTTTTTTATGGCAAGGGCTGTAGCTCAGAGATAGATCATTTACTTTGAGTTCAAAAGTTCCCAGCTTTAATCCCTGGCATGATAGAAGTATTGATGAGAATCACTCCTCTCTCAAATCCTAGTAAGCCATTGTTAGTCAGCTTTGCCACCTTGTCATTTCTCGTTCCACCTTTGGTTGTAACTGACAAAACAGGTCCATTGTCCTGGAAAGACAAATTGTTTGCCTACAAAGACCTTGTTAACCTTACTGGATTTTGCATATGCTATCTGGCAGTCATCATATTAAATTTAATAACCTGTGTGTTATATGGGAAGTTTTTTTTACACAAAATAGGGTCATTCATTGACTTTATAATAATTATAAAGACTTTATAACAAAGCTGGGAAGCAATTCCCAGCTTCACCTTTGTGATGATTACAGATGACATTTGACATTGCTTGACTTCTTTGAACCATAAACATAATCAGAAAAAAAATGGCTGCATTTGGTTAAAATCTCATTCACAGATGGCAGCACTCTTTGAATAATGAGACAATGCACTCCAAATTTCCTTCCTTCTTATATACTTTTTTATGCACTTGGAATCATTCCAGATCTTAAAAGAAACTTTAATCTTTCCACCATTCTATGTGATTTCAAGTTTAGGACAGATCACTGAGTGTCATTACAGGCCCCAGATGCTATCCATAGATGATTATAGCTCTGTACTGGTTGGACTCATAGATTGCTGTAAGCCTTGGTTTGTTTTAGCTATGACTTACTAAAAAAAAAGCAAACCACATTATCCCGTAGCATATGTGGGAACTTGGCAACATATATTTCTTTTATATTTTAATAGGAAGCAAGCAAATTTGTTTGAAATTTGTTTGTTTGAAATAGAATCAATTCACCCCCTCTTCTCCTATCAGGCAAATTATGTACATTTAAAAGTATGACTTAGTTCAGTGAATAATATTTATTTTATTGATCCATAGTTTAGAATGCAGTAAGTTAATCCTAAAA